GATCAAGGGCCAGGCTCTATTCCGGGATTTGGCTGGGGGCAAAGTAGCTGCCCTCAGCCTTCAGCCAGCTATAACAGCTAGCCTGCCACCCAGCAGCCTCACACTTGTGGCAATGCTGGTGGGGCATTCTACTTAAGTAGATGCTGGCTGGCTGGCTGCTGGTGTGATGAGGCGAAGTGTTGGAGGTMTGCAGAAGCACTTGGAGGAAGGAGGAGGCAGCCATAGCTAGAGGCTGGGAGCTTCTTGCCCCACCTCTTGTGCTGTGCTGCAGGCTGTGGGGGAGCCATAGYCGGGAGGCTGGCGCTGGATTGGGTGGTGCGGCGGAAGCGCTGCCGAAATTGTGCGGCGGCAGCGCTGGTTTTCCTAGTGGGACGGAGGAAGCGCTGCCGAATTCTTGGGGCGGCAGCGCTCGTCTTCTTGGCGATGCGGCGGAAACGCTGCCGAAATTGTGCGGCGGCAGCGCTGGTTCTCCTGGTGGGACAGCGGAAGCGCTGCCGAATTCTTGGGATGACAACGCTAGTCTTCTTGGCGATACGGCGGAAGCGCTGCCGAAATTGTGCGGCGGCAGCGCAGATTCTCTTGGCGGTACGCGAGGGCGCTACCAGATTTTGTGGCAACAGTATTTTGCACAAGACTGCGAAAAGGGGGGTTGGACGTTGCCGCAGGGATGGTACCGCCGAGGTGGAAGTGCGCCTTGGGATAGGAAGAGTGTGGTGATCGTTTTGTTGAGGACGTTGTGGCATGTGGCACTTGAGGGAATGGTCAAGGCCATAGTTATTTTTTTTGCGGCACGGTGAACGAGCGGGGACTGGATCCAGGACCACCAAGTATTGCGGCAGGCAGGTGATAACCTGAGTTGGTACTTGGTGGGTTGAGTTGGCGCTGTTCTTAGTGAGAGTTGTGAGATTGAGGCTGTGGGATTTAAGAGTGGGATACTCTCCTCATCGGCGAGCCCACTTTTGTGTTGGTGAGCAGCGCCTAAGTCAGTGTTGGTGCCTGAAGGAAGGCGCGGCTCATCTTTGTGAGCAGCATAACTTTTCTTCATAAAATACTTGGCTTTCTTGAGTGAGCATTCATAAAATTCACTCAAGGTCAGTGTGACTCAGCTCCTCTGCACACCTGCGTGAACCCACACATTGCATGACCTTGCTTTAAATTCAGGGGAAAAGGTAGAGCAAGAGTGTGACGTCATGCGTGTGAAGAAAGGGCCGACTTGTTTGGGGGATGGATGAATCTCTGGATTGTTTCTTTTCCTGATTGTGCAGGTAGGTTGGAAGGTGCATGTGAGAAGGAATCAACATTGCTTGCTCAAGATAATAATGGGGATGCTTACCTTTCTCCCACGCGACTTGAATGCATGTGAAAGAAAAGAGGAAAACCAAAAATAATAATAATAAAAGAGTGAACAGGTGGGTGCCGAAAGAACGAAGGCCGTGGGAAAATTAAAAGAAGAGAAGACAAGGGAACACCTTAGTATCTTCCCAAGGACTTCCCCATTCTATCCCGAACGACCATTATCCTTCTATGCCCGTCCAAAATATCTTACTTYTTTCTCTTCTCAATTCGTCTAAGTCGAYCCTTAGCCGGGAAGACATAGAGTGGTCGTCTGCACCTAGGGTCTAGGCTTCTTCTCTCTAGGAGGCATCTGAGGCGGGGGTTCGTTGCCTTAGGGGCCGGCCTTGTTATCGACTCAGAGCGGACCGCTTTGGCGGGGGGATACCATGCTGTTGCGGTGGAGCCAGCCCAACCTCTTAGTCCTGAACAATGTGTTTTCGGGCGAGGGGGAGGGGTATTCCAAACCACTTCCTAGAGAGTAGGGTGTCTTGAAGCTAGGGGCAGTCGCCTCCTCGTGCTTTCGGAGAAAGGGGAGGCTGAATCTAGTACCCGGCTGGGTGGCCGCTTTAGGAGCCACCTACGTGTGGGAGGGCTGGCGCCACAAGAAACCCAGCCCGTGATTCAACTAGTGTTAAAAGAAGTGCAAATAGGCATTACTTTCGCGGACGGACCGTGACAAAAGAATCACGACCCGAAAAGGGGAGTAAAGATTGAACATGGAAATGAGTATATCTGAGTTATTTTGACAAAGTTACCGCTTCGTCGTCCAGATGCTTGCGGAGACAGTGATTCTCCGATTGTTCAGCACACGCGAGGCGGCGGCTAATTGGTTAGCGGTGCCGACACGATCCCGCGCCGGCATGACACGGAAAGGAACGCTAGTGTACAACCCTCTACAGGTTTACTCGGAACGGGACACGCCACGATTCTAGGAGAGAGCGCGAGGAAACCACCGCGGAGTTATATTTTCTTGGTCGAGTCAAGCCAACATATTGTACGATATGACTTTGCCCCTCCTAATCCATCACGAGATTACGGAGACATGAACTTAGTTGTGGTTCATGAGGACTGTCCAGAAGTAGAGAACATTCATGAGGTTAGAGGGATGTTCCTCTATATTGTACTCCATTTGAATGATTTGCAAGGTCCGTTTGGCTCCCTTCATCATGTGAGACGGGTCCGAGCGAATAGATTTAATATCATTCGCTCGGAACATTTCGACGTCACCGCGTTTTATGACGAGGCTTGTGAAATTTACGAGCGCCTCTTCTAACAGGTGGCTTCTTCGGTATGCAGATGCCTAGCGGATGGCGGAACTTCACTCTGGCCAGATATCTACTGATTCGCGACACTACGGACGAGGAGTTGATCCGGCGAGCGGAGCGACTATTGCTGGCTCGAGATGGAGTGCCCACACGTTGGGTTGGTTTCATTGGCCTGCTCAGTGATGGACATGGATTTTTCCCTAACTCGCGTGCAGATGTTCGTGCCAATGTGGCCCGACTTCCGGACGAAGTTCATTGATACACCTTGTACTTCCATCATGCAAGCGACCTCCAATGCCTTTGTCGGGTCATTGTGAGCGTCAAAATTACCCTATGCGGGGAGCGCTACGGCATCATCCGGATTAAAGAAACCACTACCACGCACCTGTTTCGGATGCGCCAACCGTTCCGTGGCATAGTTTGGAGGCTCACCTCATGGGTGGTTTCTCTCTATGATACGCGGAAGGTCGGAGTTATGCGAGGCGGACGTGTCTCCACCTTGGCTTTTGACGACGAGGAGCTTACGCGACTCGACCGGATAGAGGTAGAGGCCCGTGAGGGCCGACAGGTTTATCCTGGCTGAGCGCACCCTCTCGAGTCAGGTGCAGTGGTAAGTGACTCTTTTATTGGGCCACATCTATATGACTCTACAAGGGTAATAATAACAAAAAACAACAACAATCTTGCGTAGGTAGGCCAACCAGACGGATAGTATCTGGATTACCCCGATGATGGCACTATCATGCTTATGCATTGAGGGGTAATCGAACGCTGAAAAATGAGCCGAGCAAAATAAAAACCGAACACCTGAGAAGGTGTCGAGCAAAAGGGCGAGGGCGAAGTATCATGAGATGAAACATCTCCATGCCAAGTATCTGGTGTTGGGGATGGGTACTTCGTCATTCGTGGAAYGGAGAGAGTAATTATTGCCTAGGAGGACGAATCGACCGACAAAATTGTCAGTCGCTCCCCTGAATAGTTGTATGCGGTACGACAATATGGTCGAACCGGGAGTTCAAACACTGACCAGGAGCCAGATCACTTRTTGATCCGCATGGTACCAACGGTATTTACTTATATAAGCTGTGCGTGACGGATCTTCCGTCTTCGGACGGCAGTAGCATTGTCTCTCCGGTCATGCAAGCAGGAAATGATAACCTTGGCAGGTCGCCTCGTCAAGTCGAAATGTTGTTTATGAGTATGAGATTATAACGGGAGTAGGATTATACATTGGATTTCATGTTTGGTCGAGGCCGTCCTATTCGACCGATGCTCGTTCGTACCGAGGAGATCAGCGCCCTCGGGAACGGACGACGTTTGGGTTCACTTGGCGTTAACCAAGCGTACCTATACTCCAGCGAGCGAGCAAACGCCCTCGGCTGACCTACCTCTGCAATTGCATGTAGAAGCTTTCGCACGTGGGTCGGTAGCTTGGCAGGGATACGCCCCTAAGGGCGGTGACAGCCCCTTAGGGAAGGTAAGATGCGCCCCGCGAGAACCTATCCTGTTGTAGGGGATCGTGGGATGTACAGCTGGCGCACCCGGCTAGAGCGGCGAAGGGACAATGCAATCGCGTTCGTCTCGGCGGTTGGCGGGATTATTTATGCGTTGTCCTAAGTTGTCTCTTAATTTTGTTTTGTTATAACTCATGTGTGACATAGTCGGGAAGGCCCTCGCTCACGCGGGGGCCGATGCGCTCGACAGGTGGCGCCGTTGCCGGGGATGACGGCGAATTACCGTTGTTCCTGGTGGAACGACACTCGGGAAAAGGATGGTTATAGTGATTTTAAGTGTTGTGTGTTGTTTGTTTGGATTAAAAGTAGTCAGTGGCTGTTAATGTTTGGAGAAGAAAAGGAAGGCAAAGTTATTGAGTCTGTTTGACACTTGAACATGTGGGTTTTTGTTGTGTTAATTCACCCAAGATGACGGAAGGAAGTGCCAATCCAGCAAATAGCAATGCAGGGGATCGTCGCAATGACATCCTGGAACTTGCACGAGCCATTCGTGAGGCCAATAATCAGAAGGCGCAACTGCCAAAGGTTCAAGTTTCCCTCTTCGATGGCACCAATGCCTCATCATGGGCGGACAAGTTTGAGCAATTGGGCAGTTTTTGTGAATGGACGAGTGAAAAGATGCTTCAAATAGTGAAGCGATATTGTATGGTCGAGTACAAAGAGGAGGTGTCGGAGTTGGTGCTAGCCTTGCGTGACTGGCCCGACTTCAAAGCCAAATTATTGGACAAGTACCAATTGGGGGATCAACTGCTCGATCTGGCGGACTTACGGAAAGTCAGTCGTCGGAAATTTGGTACGGCCAAGCAGTTTATCACGGAGTTCGAACGAGTTGCGCGTCTGGTGCCTGATCTTCCAGATAAGGATCGGTGCCTTATCTTCCTCGAAAACTTTTTCGAAATTGAGCAGCGGGAACTGATGAAGGATATGACTGGGCGATACGACTGGCCAAAGATCAAGGAGAATCTGTTGGCTGCAAGCTTCGACCAGATGCTTTACCGTCTCCTGAAGCAGCAAAAGGAGGACCGCGAGAAGGAAGGGGTAAGCGCGGACAAGGATCAGGCCGTTTACAAAACCCTGACTGATATGCGAAACATGATGGCTGACATGAAGGAGGAAAGGTTGAAGTTGCAAGTGATGATGGTCCAAACAAAGGGTGAAAAAAGGAAGGGAAAAACTCCCGTTGTGGAGGAAGTGAGTAGTAGCAGCAGCGAAGAGGAAGATGAGGAGGAAGTGGAGCCCGCTCGAAAATTGACCAAGGCAGAACGGAAGGCCCTGAATCAAATACGAGGGGGGGAAGGCACTAGCAAAAAGCAACGAAACAATAATGGAGGAGGTGGACAAGGAAGCAACCAGGAACAGGCGGCGCAGACCCCTCCTCAACAGCCCCAACCTCAGGCAGGAGGCCGAGGCCGAGGTCGAGGTAGAGGACAAGGCATTGGGGGAGGCCGAGAAAATGCAGGCGGCCGAGGCAATTGGCAGAATTGGTTTTGCAAGTATTGTGCCCTAGATGGGCATGGGATACGGTTTTGTCAGACCATTACCAAAGATGAAAACGATAAGGTTATATATACGAATATCCGAGGTGAGGTCTACGACTTCGAAGGGAACCTCATCGATCCCAATGTGGAGGAAGGAATGAGAAAGGAGGTTTTTCGACGTATAGGGCGAGATCTTCCTAAAACTTTCCGACTGACTTCCTCGGAAGAAGTTGAACAGATTGAGTTGGAAGTGGCGATGGAATCATTGACGATTGAAGATGCGAAGACCGGGGATGAAGGTTTGAGCGAGGAACAGGAAGAGATACTACATCGAGTCCAGTTGGTGGTCAAGAAGATTAACCGATGTCGGGAAGCTTTTGTTCAAATATGCGCCGACATGAATGAAGAATGGCGCGGGCTTCCCCAAGTTTTTCTGTTTGGAGGATGGGACAGAGATGGCCAAAGAGGTCTTAATGATGTTAGCGCACCACAACCTGGATCGCCGTCGGCAGGGCGTTTGATGGCCACCACGGTCTTGTCCCGTCCTGCTTTCAAGCGACCTGCCACTGCTGGCCTCCCGCAGGCTCAGAGGGCTCGAAGGCCGCTGCGGCCAAGGGCAACACCAGAAGAAGGGCCAAGTCATCCCCGGTAAACCGAGACTATTCCGATTGAAGAAGACGATGACGAGGAGGACGAGTTGTTGCGAGCCGAGGATGAGCGGCAGGCCAAACAACGGGCCATGGAGAGGGAGCCCGAAATGGGCAAGGCCGATGTTGGGGAAGGAGAGTTGAAAAAAAAGAAGCAAGTTTACACGATCCCGGTGGAGCAAGGGATGGATATCGAGCAAATCGTCGACCGGATTCATCAGGGGCATGAATTCACTAGCAAGAGGATCACATCGAATGCCTGAATCTGGACGAATTTCTGGAGATATGCAGAAGATTGAGATTGAACTGTTTTTCTACATCTGTGCTTAAAACACATTCAGATTCAGGGGCTCGATCCTATCCTTTTTGCTCGTGGGACCTCGGCCCAGCAGTCTGTTTATCAACAAAAGACTGCTGGACGAGAGCAGAAACAAAAAGTCAAATCCCAAACAAAGCAAAAAAAAGACAAAAAAAAGAAAAAACTTACCTGAAATGCTGCTGACACCCNAGCAGAAACAAAAAGTCAAATCCCAAACAAAGCAAAAAAAAGACAAAAAAAAGAAAAAACTTACCTGAAATGCTGCTGACACCCTCAAAACGGCCGTTTTTCCCCTTTTCAGGGACTGCAAGTCCCTGTCACATCTCCATTTAGTTTTTTTTTCTTTTTTTTTCTTTTTTTCTTTTTGTATTACGGGGAACCCCTATAGCAGCCACATCCGTGCTCAAGCCTCCAACGAGGGAACATGCGGGAGCTGCACCCACCAGCAGGTGCGATACCTGCTACAGCAGGTGGGCGATACCAGCCAGGGGTCAGCTGGTAGCATCAGGACCAAGCCTATTGGCTGGGCCAGTCACTGTGTCTCCCCTCCGGTCCCCTCCCCCTATGAACATCAGCAGTCTCTGCTCAATGCCACTCGGGGGGGCCAACGGCATATCTCTAAGTGGCAGGCACCAAGCTTGCCCAGGAAGGTACATGAGGCCAATGGGGATTGAACCCTGAACCTCCTGAATGCTACTTGCGTGCCTTACCAACTGAGCTGGGAGGCTGAATCAGATCCAAGTTCAATCCCAGTTGGGATAAAAAAAAGACTCGAACCAGTTCTCGATTTGTGCATGTCATCCTTGCACAGGGGTCATACTAGCTCCGCGCGACTGATCTCAGCCGCAAGATCTCATGATCGATCGGCCGCGCTCGGATGCCTTATGAAAAGGCCAGCTCCAAAAGGAGCAACTCCTGTTTGTGAAGAGTTGTGCCCAGCAGTCCCCTCCAGCCTGTAGCACAGCAGGCCCCACATGTTTGCCTGTCTGCCGCTCCCCCGTGGATGGCTGCCCATCTACGGCTTAGGGGTCACCCAACGGGTAGGCCGCGACATCGACCTGTCGGCCCCCTCTGGCTCGAAGTCAACCCCCACGTCCCAGGAAAAAATAAAACTCCCTCTTTCCCCTGCGCCACGGCCCTATTCTAGGTAGACTAGGTCTAGCTTTAGTCTTTCCATTTTCGGGCACCACCGTGGCCTTGCCGAAAACCACGGACGACTGTACCGATTCCCGTAACCCACATGGACGTCGATGTTATCCTGTGTCGACGACGTCAGGTTCAGAAAAATCTTAAGTCTCTCAGTCATAAGGCTGGTCTGAATAAACTTTGGCAACGTCAATCTCATCAAGTCGTCCAATTTAGTGGAAAGGTCGGACAGCGTCCGACGTTGAAAAACACGGGCAGATACCCTTGTTAGGGTTTTGTGCCCCGACAGCATTCCCGGGCCCCATTGAACGACTTCCACGTCGTTCACGTGGTCGGTGCTCTCAGTATAAAATTTTACGGATACCTCTTTTAGTATCTTTTAATCTTTATAATACCACAAATACTTTAACTAGCAGATATCTGAAAAACAGACTCCGTACTATTAAATGATTTATGCCCTCGAAACCAAAATTCACAATCATTCTGCACTCATCGGATTGGTACCAGATTCAGCCCCTGGAAGCCCCAAATTCGAAACTCAGGTCCAGATTCAGCCCCTGGAAGCCCAAAATTCAAAGGACCTTATTCTAATGGTTCTGACTAACAAAATTCATTCGGTTGGAAAACATTATTTTAATCATCTGGGCAAGCAACCATCACCACCGGGAATTTAACCCGGGTCTCTCATGTTCATGGGGATGCATCACCTCAACACACTCACGTGTCGCCAGGAGTTTAACCTGGACCTCCCACGTAACACAAGGATACTCGTACTATACTACAGTCACTGTTGTCGTGGACGATAATAGCAAGGCCTCGACTTTCCACCATCCCTTCTGGAAGTCCCGTATTAACCTTCAGCTAGTTCCCAGAATGAGCCAGGAATAACCCCTGACAGGCCTCCATAACCCAACCTATGATAATCGTTCAGACATGATCTGAACTAGCAATCCAGTACAAGAACCTCTTATTCAAGTCCTTTACCTGAGTTCCATAACCCATCCGATTGTGCAACTTTACAAATACCTAGGATTATTATGTTTAATATCCCCGAATTCCATGTGGCTGCGTCGAGGAGTGGTGTAATCCTCCACAAAGGATAACATCCCGACATCAAGCCCCGCTTTAGATTCGAGCCTCACCACATTCCCTCCGATTCCAGTATCGCAACTCTGTTAATGTCACGCCTACAGGGCGAGACAACCCCATCCATATAATCCAAGTTGGTCAGACGAGGATCATAAGGACGCGGCGACCCTGCATATCACAAGGATAAACGACCAACCCCACCCCTGTGATAAGCAGCGATCGCTCCCCGCCATAGGCGAGGTCTCAACAGGATTACGACACCATCCTCCTTTTCGGTGATAGTGTAGTCATCGCCCTCTTTCCAAGGAAAATGACATCATTTCGTTGTGGACCAGAAACCAAGTTCCGGCACGAGTCTCACTATCACCTACAAGGCTCACATCTTTCAGGAATATCAAGACACAATAAAGACTAGGTATTACATATAAACTTACTATATTCATTAGACCATGTGCCTATAGAACGAATACTTATCGTTCAGGAAGTCACATGTTCCAAAATTTTATACACATTTTACACATTAAGTCATGACTTTGCACAAATGATTCAAATCAATCCCTCACAAGCAAAACTCATTCCACATAAGAAATAAAAAAGATGTATGCTCAGAGAATCATCTTTACAAGGCTTGAAAAAATTATTATGCACATCAATTATCTTGCTCGAGAACGAAGAATAATGACAAAAATGACATCAACAAGTAATTAATTACAAGTCCATATGTGTCTGTCCATTGCATGAAAAATATATCTTACAAATACTTAATCATAAAATCAAGTTAGCTAGTGGTATCAATGTCTGATAAGAAAAGTAAGGCATTATCTAGTCCCTATGAACAAACTTCTTCAAGCGTGAGCCTGAAACCCAATCTCGCCTACGTGCTTCATCCATCTCCTCAATCTCGTATGCTCCGTGCTCTGTTTTCTTAATGATACGATATGGTCTCATCCATCGATTATCTAATTTCCTCGGCCACTGCTTTTCAAGAGAAAGTCATAGAGGAGGACAATATCCCCCACTTCCAACGGTTCCTTCCTAACTCAGGGTTGCTTATCCCATCTAACTTTGTCCGCCCGTCTGCTGTCCGCAGTTGACGCCGTGGCCTTTACAACTCTTTCCTCAGTAGCTTTTATCTGTCTGGTTCTCAGGTCCAACAATTCTTCTGTAGAAAGTCTGACTTTCATATCCTGTTTTTGCCATGTGGTCAGGAAACTCTCGATCGGAAACGTAGCATGTCGTCCAAACCATAACGTAACAGGAGCATACCCAGTAGTCCGTTTTACGGTTATATTTTCAACAAATATGGCAGCTCTGAGATAGACGGGCCATGTTGATGGCTTGCCAGCACACCATTTAGCTAGCAAATTGGTCAAGGTGGCATGCCCACGTTCGACCGGAGCATTAGCCTGGGGGTGCACTCTAGTGGTATAACTATAGTTCACTCCAAGTCTCCTCAGCAGAGCCTGAACTTCTTCCGCCCGAAATTCACCGCCTCGATCCATCACAAATTCCCGAACAAATGGATACCGAAGGTAAAACTCTTCGATACACTCCGCCAAAATCTTTCCGGTTCGCGCACGGATTGCACGCCCATCAACAAACCCGGTAAGATTGTCTCTCGCATCAAATATGTACCTGTACCTATTAAGTCCGGGTGGCATAACGACCAGGTCGAGGTGCACAACCGCACCTGGCTCAACCACATATCATGGATTAAGTGGCTCAGCATAGCGGAGATTCGAATGTTTCTGATAGGGAACGCACGAGTTGCAGAACTTTGTCACCATCTTACCCATACCATCCCAAAAATAGAGATGTTGGATTTTTCTCAATGTCAGTCGTGTAGATCGATGTCCACCTGCCACTTCATCATGTAGAGCCGCAATCACATCCAATTGTCTGGGAGCTCCGCACACCACTCTCTTAGGCATACCATCGTCAGACTTTTTGAAAAGATGCCCCTGTCGAATGACAAAATCCTTTGCCTTCTCTCTTATTTCTGGCTCTATCTCTGCCTCGTTCAGGTCCCCATTCAGCCAAAGCCCAATCTTCTTATAAATCCCATCATATTCCTCCTCACGAAAGGCTTCTTTGATCTCACTGCCTTCCCCTTCTTCCAACATTAGCTTACCGTGATCTTCCTGTATCAACGAATTAACAAGAAACACCATTCCCCCAAAAATCTTGAGGACTTCGTTGCCTTGCTCATGCCCCCCTTCAATCGTAAGAGGTTCTTCCGAAAGTTGTAATGGGTCAGACAACGCCAACCTCATCATCTGCTCAGCAGACCGTTCACCCCAAGGATCTTCCTCAAAAAAGGGTTCCCTCATCACAAGCTCTGCACACTTTTGATAAGAACTCGGCGAACTCCGGATAGACTTCCCAGGTCGGGACGACGCATTAATGATGTATTCCCAAACATTGATACTCAGTTGTTGATCGTCCGTCTCCAGAAACCCATCCGCAGGGACCGAGTCTTCTGCTTGATCTTTCGAGGAGTCGCACTCGATCCGACTCAATCCGCCGGCTCGATTTTGTGTTCCCGCAATACGCTCGATCTCGAAATCGAACATCCGGATATAGATCAACCATCGAGCAATAGTTGGATCCGAGGGAGAATAATTCTTCAATGACTGCGCCAGGGCGGTCGGATCAACCCGCAGGACGAACCGTCTTCCAAACACGTAGTTTCGGAAGATCCTGAAGCAATGAAGCACTGCAAGSGTTTCCTTCTKAAATTGGGAATACTTCCTTTCTGCCTCATTCAACGTTCGACTTTCAAATCTCAGTGGTCTTTCTCGCCCTTCTCCATCCTTCTGGATGAGGACTCCACCCAACGCTGTGGAGCCTGCATCCGTTTCAACCACAAAGGGTCGGTTCGGGTCATTGTCAAAGCATGGAACCCCCAGGATCAATCCTCCTTCTCGGAATTGTGCCTTGATGTCGTCAACAGCCACCTGCTGCTTTGAAGCCCATTCCCATTCCTGATTTTTACGCACCAACTTCCGTAGGTGCTCCACCCTTGCAACGAACTTGCGAATAAAGATACGCCAGAATCCGCAAGTCCCCAAAAAACTGCGCACATCCGTGATGGACTTAAGCGGAGTCGGCCATTCCAGAATCTTGTTTGTTTTCTTGGAATCTGACCGACGGCCCTTCTCATCGCACAAGAAGCCCAAGATAGTCGCCTCACGCATACAATGTCGAGATTTGACACCACTGGCGGTGAGGTTGTACTCCTTTAACTTGGACAGGACCTTCTCCACGTCACGAACGTGCTCCCAAACAAACTTTCGGACGCGTGGCAGCACCTCCGTTTCGTCCTTAATACGTGGCCCAAGAATGACCAAGTCATCGATATACGGTGAGGTCACGTCCGGACAAAGCGGCTGCATGACCCTCATCATATATCTCTGAACAATCGCCACGGCGTTCGTCCATCCCTGAGGCGCCGCATACATATGAATCAATCCCCTCGGCATATGCATGGCCATCATCGACCTGTCTGCCGTATAGAGAGGGAATTGATCATATCCCGAGTACAAATCAATGAGAGTGATGATAGGCCTGTCTGCGCACGACTCAGACAGCTGATCGGCATGTGGAAGTCCTCCGGCATCACGAACCGTCACTGAGTTCAGCCTCTGTAGATTCTGCACCGATCGCAATACGCCACTTGTCTTGATGAAACAAAACCAAGGGGACGCATATGGTCCATACAAGTAATACGCGACCTTTGTCTGAATTTTACCGTCCAAATATTCAACGACTCTACGGTGATCATCCGGGTTCGGATAACGTGGGCCTCGTATGTTCCACGGCTCGTGAGGTACCGTATGAACCCTGATCATTGGAATCAGGTCAACGTCAAGCCTCCCTCGCTCATCATCATCGAAGGCATAAGCCAGATGGGTTTTCTTCATGACGCTGACAAGGAAGTCCACCTCCTTCTCAGTAAGAGACCCTTCCTCTCCAATGATCATATTTTTAATCCTCTCCTCCGTCAATCGACATGGCGCCTTCATACTCTTTTCCTTCCTCATCCCGATTCATTCTCTTTCTTCTTTATAATACACTTCTTCCTCTTGTATGATCAAGACGGGCATTGGCCGAGCTTTCTCGCCTACTCTCTTGTACTTACGTTTCGCTCCAACTCCAAGTCGTCCACCTCTAAAAAAGGCCCTTGCTTGGCTGCTGGCTCCGTCAATACATCACCTTCCGAACGCCTGTCGGGCCGATAAGTAAGATACATTCTACCTGTTCCGCCTTCTCCTGCCACAATCTCTGTCAGCGTTTGGACCAACTTGGGGTCCACGGACGAGTCTGTCGCAACGAACTCGATCGCTTGAGAGATGTTGGGCAGAGCAAGAGAGAATTTTTGGGGATCGCTCTCTTCTCCGAGGGATTCCTTCTCCCTCCTGAGCCTTTCAGACTCAGTGAAGGAATAGGACCCCGGATTGAGTCGGTTCCTTGAATTGGTTGGTCCCGTGTTCTCACACTTCATCACCTCGTAATAGCCGCATACGGGGTCATACAAAACCACGATCATAGTACCATCATGCTTGTTAAAGATGATGGATTCCGATCGACATAGGAAAGCTCTGCCCAGCAACACGGCATGCTCAACCCTGGGTAGCTCATAGAAGTACGAACGAACTTTGACTCTACAAACTTGTATCGTCACGTCACTCGTCGTTCCGCAAAAGGAAGTTATCCCACTTGCACCTACCAGAAATCCAGTATCTGCTCGATTGATGTTTACTCCTGCCCCCATGGCTTCTCTTTCACGTATGATGTTAATTTCAGCCCCATCGTCGATGAGAGCCGAGTATTCGCACGGCCCAACTTGCACCTTCAACAATCCAGTCGCTACACAGTGCCAGTCCATTTTTGTCCCAGGCGGAGCCCAACTAATCTCTTGAGGAAAGATGTCACTCATCTTAACCGTCATAACCTTTTTCCTTGACAGTCCGTGTCTGAACTCCTCTCGGATTTTCGGCGACGCAGCCAAGAATTCTTTGAGCGTGAACAAATCGCGTTGTAGTTCCATTAGCAAAGAGTATAAGATTGAATGACTGAGTTTGGACGCGTTTGAGGGCAAGAGCAGGGAATCGAGACAAAACTGGTTTTCTGTATTTCTGCATGAAAGATAGCCTGATTCAGGATTTTTGACCTATCCCCTTTGCTAGTGTGACCACGGCCCAGGTAAGTTGCTGTTTTTTCTATTTAGTTTTTAGATTTGTTTCCTTAGATTTTTTTTTCTTTTTTCTTTTAGAAGTTTTCTTTTTAGATTCCCACCCCCCTCCTCTGCTGTACCTCCCATTGTGGTTGCGCCCGTCTCTTTTGACAGGCAGCAGCCACTCGAGGTGGCACCCAACATGGCACCTAAACTGAGCCAGGTTCGGGCACTTTGTGGGGAGAAGACCCTGTTGAGCTTGGCACCAGTGGGGTGACCCATGGGAGGGGTGACTTCTCGTTTTCAAGAGAAACGAGCCACCCTGATTCAGAGAAAAAAAAAAAAAAACACAAAAAAAAAAAAAAAAAAAAAAAAAAAGGGGAAAAAGTTGGAAAAAAAAAAAAAAAAAAAAACGGCCGTGGATCTAGCTGCGGCCTCGGTCCAGATGCAAGTTAAGAAGCATCTGGACTATGGATCGACAACAAGCTGTTGGTTTCAACAAAATTGGCTGACTACAACCATTTTTGGGCCGCGTCGGGCCACGGGTAAAGGCCAGATGCATCCCCCGTGGCCTGGACTTGGTTCCCCTAGGGGAACATCAAGTTTCCTGGCCCTCGATTGAGATTCTGATCAAGGGCCAGGCTCTATTCCGGGATTTGGCTGGGGGCAAAGTAGCTGCCCTCAGCCTTCAGCCAGCTATAACAGCTAGCCTGCCACCCAGCAGCCTCACACTTGTGGCAATGCTGGTGGGGCATTCTACTTAAGTAGATGCTGGCTGGCTGGCTGCTGGTGTGATGAGGCGAAGTGTTGGAGGTATGCAGAAGCACTTGGAGGAAGGAGGAGGCAGCTATAGCTAGAGGCTGGGAGCTTCTTGCCCCACCTCTTGTGCTGTGCTGCAGGCTGTGGGGGAGCCATAGTCGGGAGGCTGGCGCTGGATTGGGTGGTGCGGCGGAAGCGCTGCCGAAATTGTGCGGCGGCAGCGCTGGTTTTCCTAGTGGGACGGAGGAAGCGCTGCCGAATTCTTGGGGCGGCARCRCTCGTCTTCTTGGCGATGCGGCGGAAACGCTGCCGAAATTGTGCGGCGGCAGCGCTGGTTCTCCTGGTGGGACAGCGGAAGCGCTGCCGAATTCTTGGGATGACAACGCTAGTCTTCTTGGCGATACGGCGGAAGCGCTGCCGAAATTGTGCGGCGGCAGCGCAGATTCTCTTGGCGGTACGCGAGGGCGCTACCAGATTTTGTGGCAACAGTATTTTGCACAAGACTGCGAAAAGGGGGGTTGGACGTTGCCGCAGGGATGGTACCGCCGAGGTGGAAGTGCGCCTTGGGATAGGAAGAGTGTGGTGATCGTTTTGTTGAGGACGTTGTGGCATGTGGCACTTGAGGGAATGGTCAAGGCCATAGTTATTTTTTTTGCGGCACGGTGAACGAGCGGGGACTGGATCCAGGACCACCAAGTATTGCGGCAGGCAGGTGATAACCTGAGTTGGTACTTGGTGGGTTGAGTTGGCGCTGTTCTTAGTGAGAGTTGTGACATTGAGGATGTGGGATTTAAGAGTGGGATACTCTCCTCATCGGCGAGCCCACTTTTGTGTTGGTGAGCAGCGCCTAAGTCCGTGTTGGTGCCTGAAGGAAGGTGCGGCTCATCTTTGTGAGCAGCAGAACTTTTCTTGAGAAAATACTTGGCTTTCTTGAGTGAGCCTTCATAAAATTCACTCAAGGTTAGTGTGACTCAGCTCCTCTGCACACCCGCATAAACCCACACATTGCATGACCTTGCTTTGAATTCAGAAGAAAAGGTAGAGCAAGAGTGTGACGTCATGCGTGTGAAAAAAGGGCTGACTTGTTTAGGGGATGGATGAATCTCTGGATTGTTTCTTTTCCTGATTGTGCAGGTAGGTTGGGAGGTGCATGTGAGAAGGTATCAACATTGCTTGCTCAATATAATAATGGGGATGCTTACCTTTCTCCCACGCGACCTGAATGCATGTGAAAGAAAAGAGGAAAATAAAAAATAATAATAATAAAAGAGTGAACAGGCGGGTGCCGAAAGAACGAAGGCCGTGGGAAATTTAAAAGAAGAGAAGACAAGGGAACACCTTAGTATCTTCCCAAGGACTTCCCCATTCTATCCCGAACGACCATTATCCTTCTATGCCCGTCCAAAATATCTTACTTCTTTCTCTTCTCAATTCGTCTAAGTCGACCCTTAGCCGGGAAGACATAGAGTGGTCGTCTGCACCTAGGGTCTAGGCTTCTTCTCTCTAGGAGGCATCTGAGGCGGGGGTTCGTTGCCTTAGGGGCCGGCCTTGTTATCGACTCAGAGCGGACCGCTTTGGCGGGGGGATACCATGCTGTTGCGGTGGAGCCAGCCCAACCTCTTAGTCCTGAACAATGTGTTTTCGGGCGAGGGGGAGGGGTATTCCAAACCACTTCCTAGAGAGTAGGGTGTCTTGAAGCTAGGGGCAGTCGCCTCCTCGTGCTTTCGGAGAAAGGGGAGGCTGAATCTAGTACCCGGCTGGGTGGCCGCTTTAGGAGCCACCTACGTGTGGGAGGGCTGGCGCCACAAGAAACCCAGCCCGTGATTCAACTAGTGTTAAAAGAAGTGCAAATAGGCATTACTTTCGCGGACGGACCGTGACAAAAGAATCACGACCCGAAAAGGGGAGTAAAGATTGAACATGGAAATGAGTATATCTGAGTTATTTTGACAAAGTTACCGCTTCGTCGTCCAGATGCTTGCGGAGACAGTGATTCTCCGATTGTTCAGCACACGCGAGGCGGCGGCTAATTGGTTAGCGGTGCCGACACGATCCCGCGCCGGCATGACACGGAAAGGAACGCTAGTGTACAACCCTCTACAGGTTTACTCGGAACGGGACACGCCACGATTCTAGGAGAGAGCGCGAGGAAACCACCGCGGAGTTATATTTTCTTGGTCGAGTCAAGCCAACATATTGTACGATATGACTTTGCCCCTCCTAATCCATCACGAGATTACGGAGACATGAACTTAGTTGTGGTTCATGAGGACTGTCCAGAAGTAGAGAACATTCATGAGGTTAGAGGGATGTTCCTCTATATTGTACTCCATTTGAATGATTTGCAAGGTCCGTTTGGCTCCCTTCATCATGTGAGACGGGTCCGAGCGAATAGATTTAATATCATTCGCTCGGAACATTTCGACGTCACCGCGTTTTATGACGAGGCTTGTGAAATTTACGAGCGCCTCTTCTAACAGGTGGCTTCTTCGGTATGCAGATGCCTAGCGGATGGCGGAACTTCACTCTGGCCAGATATCTACTGATTCGCGACACTACGGACGAGGAGTTGATCCGGCGAGCGGAGCGACTATTGCTGGCTCGAGATGGAGTGCCCACACGTTGGGTTGGTTTCATTGGCCTGCTCAGTGATGGACATGGATTTTTCCCTAACTCGCGTGCAGATGTTCGTGCCAATGTGGCCCGACTTCCGGACGAAGTTCATTGATACACCTTGTACTTCCATCATGCAAGCGACCTCCAATGCCTTTGTCGGGTCATTGTGAGCGTCAAAATTACCCTATGCGGGGAGCGCTACGGCATCATCCGGATTAAAGAAACCACTACCACGCACCTGTTTCGGATGCGCCAACCGTTCCGTGGCATAGTTTGGAGGCTCACCTCATGGGTGGTTTCTCTCTATGATACGCGGAAGGTCGGAGTTATGCGAGGCGGACGTGTCTCCACCTTGGCTTTTGACGACGAGGAGCTTACGCGACTCGACCGGATAGAGGTAGAGGCCCGTGAGGGCCGACAGGTTTATCCTGGCTGAGCGCACCCTCTCGAGTCAGGTGCAGTGGTAAGTGACTCTTTTATTGGGCCACATCTATATGACTCTACAAGGGTAATAATAACAAAAAACAACAACAATCTTGCGTAGGTAGGCCAACCAGACGGATAGTATCT